TTTAAATTGTAAGGTTAAAATAAATATGGAAATAAATAATGATATATCTTTTTGAAATAACAATAATTAAGACAATTCCAAACATAAAAAAAAACTTATAAATTGTTTAAATACATATAACAAAATTTTTGTTAAGTTTTCTTTTGATCGAAAAATGGTTTTTAGAAAACCGATTGGGCCAAAACAAAAAGCTATTTGTCTGATTTTGTCTTCCAATACAATGTAATAACATATTATACGAAAATGTATTTTTTAAAGACAAAAAAAACATTTTGTGTAATATAAATACATAAAAATGCATATAAATTGTTTGCAAAACCTTATTACATAACATGCAGTTTGATTTATTACAAAAAATTTACATAATTTTTTTAATTTATGTATTGTTTATGTTTTATTGATTTTATTATTATATAAATGAGTTTAGAAAATAACAAACCAAATAAGCCTTCAGCTCAATTGGTTAAATTGTTCGTCATTAAAGTAGGATGGAGGTCATGACTTCGAGCCCTCACTCATTTGTTCATGTCATATTATCTTTTAAAACAAACTATTAAAATGATCATTATGGTTTAGTAGATGTTACGAATTCAATCACTATTATACTTGAAAAGATCAAAATTCCCCCAAACGGGAGTTATGTGATATTGCCTAACGGTAGAAAATTGTCGAGTTAGTAAAAACCGTCATTCATGCAACTTTTGCAAACCATAAGGATTAATATAAAAAATTAGCAAAGACTAAGTTATTTTGGTAAACCCAAAACCTTTTTTGTAGTTTTGTCTTAACTTTTTATTTATTTATTTTTTTGTAATAAAATGAATCATAGTTTAAAGTTCAAATTTGATCCCTATAGTTTGCAAAAAAGTACACTATTTGGTTTTTTAAATTTAATTTTGTTTTTTAGATACTTTATTTATTTTCATATATATATATATATATATATATATATAATATATATATATATATATATATATATATATATATATATATATATATATACACACACACATAGAGACACTTTTTGGTTTTCGTTTTTATATATATATTATATTCATTTTCATTTTTTAATTTTATTTTTCAACAATTTGATTTTTTTTTACCTTTCGTTTTCTATTGTTTTCAATTTCAAGTAAATAAAGTTTTTTTTTACCCTTTTTAATGTTTTTTTTAGTCGTTATCAAATTGAAAAATATTATATTGAGTTTAAACTATTGATATCACGTATAGAAATATATTTTAATTTATAAGTTATATCACACATTAAAACATTAATTCTCAATAAACAAGTTATTTGTTTTTTTTATAATTTTCATTTTTTTCGTAACATAAATATAATAACACTAAAGAACAAAAAAAATAAAAAGAAAATAAGTTGGACCGAAATTACAAATATAAATATAACTTTTTTTATTATTTGAATAAAAAATTAATAAAAAAGTTACAAAAACTATAAATTACCAAAATTGTAGCATACTCTATTATATATATATATATATATATATATATTATATATATATATATATATATATATATATATATATATATATATATATATATATATAGAAAAGATCAAGAAAAAAAAATTCAAAATTCCAAAAAAAAATAAAATGAAAACAAGTAATGCGAAAACAAATACGAAAAAACTAAAAAAAGATACAAAAAATGTATAATGTATATATATATATATATATATATATATATATATATATATATATATATTATATATATATATATATATATATATAAAAGGAAAGTAGAATGACCAAAATTGAACTTTAAACCCTATGTTAGTACTGATTTTACAAATATATATATATATATATATATATATATATATATATATATATATATATATATATATATATATATATATATATAAAAGTTAACAATTAAAACTCCTTAAATAGACTACAATAATAATTATGCGAGAAATTTGTGTTAATAGCAATAATAAAAAAAATATTATGATTACATATTAAAAACTTAATAATATTAGTTAAATTTTAATAACATTCTCTCCTCGGGGTTTTTTTTTTGGAACATTTATTGTTCTTGCTTTTATATCAATGTGAATTGAATATAATTTGCTTATTGGAGTTCACCATGTGAATATAATTATATTATATGTACATGTGGATATAAGTAAAGTTAAATGTAGATGTGAATGAATTCTTATGTCCATTTTACTCAATTGTTTTATGTATAACCAAAATATTGAAATAGTAAAAAAAAATAATAAATACAAATGACTTATTTAGATATATGACTTATTTAGATTGACATGTGAATATGAATAGTTACTTTAAACTATATGGTGTTGAAAGTAATTATCTTATAAATTCCATTAAATTAATTTGTGAGTAACCAAAATTTTGAAATAGTAAAAAAAATGCAATTGATTTTACTTAAGTCCTCTTCAGAATGTGAATATGATCAAAAAGTATTTTGTTTATTCTGTTTGCAAATGCATTATGTTGAGGTATCTCGAGAACCGTCTCAACATCTTGATCCCATTATAAGCACAATAATCAACGAGTTATTTGCGCTTGTATTCTCCCACATTATGAGACTTTAAATACTTGATCTAAAAGCTACTATTATATACATCAACATTTGCACTTCTAAAATGTATTGAAAATCTATAGTTATTTTCAAGAAACAAACATATACATTCTATATGGAATCATTAATGATCATAACATAGTAGCATTATATCCTATTAAAGAAACCAATGTAGGGCCATACACATCAATGTGAACCAACTCTAATACATCATCAACTAGTATGGGCTAAAAGTCTAAACATTACATACTTGCTTACTGACTACCGTAGACATTCTCATAAGCACCATATACATTGTCTCACACACCACATAGTTATGTCAAGCATCCCAAACCTTGTGTCGAGCACTATATGCCTTTTGTGTCTACTTCATTGCTAAGTCTTAGCAACAACAATGAAATTAAATGAAAGATCAAGCTTCACAATTGAACACCACTTCCTTTCAAATTCCCACCAATATAAAGCAATATTACTTGTTGCTAAAGATTACCTCAATAGCATTATATATTCCTTTCACTTTGAAAAGTGGTATAGTCGATAAGTTTTGGTAACCTCCTATCTACAAAACAACGGTGATCATTAGATCAACTTTTAACCTATTCGTAGAATGTTTTAAAGAGAGCTACTCACCCATAGACGATTAAATTGAATGACCCACTACAAAAAAACGAACACAATAAATGGGAAAAATAATTTTATTAGATGTTTAATAATATAATTTAGCTCAAGCAATAACATAGAAATCCCTAATATTCATAAAAGAAAAGGGTACAAGAATTTTTCCTTTTTCCTAATAATCCAAAATGATTAAGATAAGATTGATAATCAATCATCTAAATCAAATATAAATAATAAAATATTTAAACAATCATAAAAACAATTATGTTTTAAGACCTTAAGCAATTTCAAATAATCAAAAAACATCTTGCATCATCACAAAGTAATAAGTTTGTTAAATAGTTGATCACCATAAATCATACAAACTTCAATCAAATCCGAGATTAAAAAATCACATTTGCAGATTTGATGTTGATGCCATTGATGTTGATGCCATCAATTCTCCTATCATGTAGTGATGATATTATCATGACTTCTACCAATATATCAACTATATTGTTAATCATTATCAAGTATATCCGTATAACATCACAATAAATAAATAATAAGTTGTGAAAAATTAATAATTATCAAAGTATATGTTAAAGTACATAACTATCCCTAAGAATTTTTATGGATACTTAATTTTGATTTCACCAATAATAATAATAATAATAATAATAATAATAATAATAATAATAATAATAATAATAGTAATAATAATAATAATATGCCCTAGTGGTATTAAAAATTGTTAGGCTCAATCGTGCTTGGTTTCAATGTGTAGATTTAATAGTGTCTAAATTGATCGTTAAAAACAAATTTATTTTTTATTCAAATTCATGGGATTTTATCTAGATTTAGGCTATATGTTATGCTTTTGATTATTGAATACCACATTCAAGAATCTATAGTTTTTAGCTTAGCGTATTAAAGTGTATAGAAAAATTGTCTATTCTTAAATGGTGAAGGTTCGGGTTCCGCCATTAACTAATATGTAAAATTACTTCATGTATCAAACATAGAATTTTTTTTTTTTTTTTTTTTTTTTTTAAATTATTTGAATAAACCTTATTGGATTAATGATTGGGATAAAGTAAGATAACAACTAATTAACTTTTTAATGACATGCCAAAGATAATTCTAATTAAAGATTCTTTTTTTATTTTTGGTGGAGTCGTGGTAATAATTGCTTACAACTTAATGTTGGGTTTACTGCTTTCTAAAGTCATCGAGTACATTCTTAACATGCTCATGCATCGTCATTGACCGATGCTTTTGTAACTAATACTGAACGTATGGAAGTCAAAGACTCTTTCCTTTGGGGGAAGATTAACGCTAACAAAGGCTGTCCTTGGCAGCCTCCCCACCTTTTACTTTTCATTATTTGTTGCCCCTGCAGATGTCATTAAGAAGCTGGAAAGAACAAGAAGGAGATTTCTATGGGGGGATCGATTGATAGAAAAAAAATCAATTGGGTATCGTGGGAAAAGGTGACAGCACCTAGAGAAGCAGATGGCCTTGGTCTGGGCTCTTTAAAAGAACTCAATTTATCACTAATTGTAAAATGGCTATGGAGATTGAAAACAGATGGATCAAGTCTATGGAGCAAGGTCATCAAAGGAATACATAATCTGTATAATAAACCTGCAGACCATATTTCAAAAAAAACCCCACCTAAAACATGGAGCAATATCGCTGGAGTAAGAGGAGAGCTGAAAAAAATTGGAATTGATCTAAATGACGTAATATCGAAGAAGATTGGAACCGGTGATGATACTATGTTCTGGCTTGATCGGTGGACTGGAGGCAATACCTTAAAAACTTCATTCCCTGAGATGTATAAACTGGAACGTCATAAACATTGCAAGATTAGTGATCGGTTAAATGACGGGCGATGTAATTGGAACTGGAAAGAAATACCAACAACTACGGAGCAACTACGTGAGCTTCATATGCTCACTAATGGAGTCAATACGTTTCAGTTAGTGGCTCAAAGCGACAGATGGGTGTGTAATTTGTCGAGTGACGGATTATTCTATGTAAATGTTCTTAGAACACAGATCGACTGGAGAAACATGATGCCAAGGGAAGTATCGATAAAGTGGACTCATGAAGTCCCTGTGAAGATCAACTGTTTCATATGGAGGGCAAAGTTTGATCGACTCCCAACGGCACATGCGCTAACTAGAAGGGGAATCCAACTCATGTCCGCCTTATGCCCCTACTGTGAGTTGGAAGAGCAGGATACGACACACGCGCTATTCCAGTGTCCATTGGCATCAAAGGTATGGGAATATGTAGGTCATTGGTGCAACATTCCTCATCTCCATTTTCAGAGTGCTGAGGAAATGGTGAAATATGTAACACAATGGGGTACATGTCCAAAGAAAAGAAAAACTCTAACTAGCATATGTTATGAGACTGCATGGAGTATTTGGAAAGCTAGGTGTGATTGGATCTTTAAAAAACAAAGAACAACACCACCCAGACTAGCAGATTCGGTGAAATCCATTGTGTTTATATGGATTAAGCATAAGAGAGACCGATGCAACATTAGTTGGATAGATTGGTGTGTTAGTCCTTTTACCATTATGTAATTTTTTCTCTTCTTTCGTGTATTGTACTCTCTGCCTCCTAGCACCTTGCTGGAGTTGTTTGCTTGCTTTTATAAAATTATTTGCCGGTTCCAAAAAAAACTTATTTCATAATGATACACATACAAAATTACCAAATTAAGCAAGCAAAATTATCAAATTAAGAATGGCTCTAGATAACCATGTGAACCAGTCTCTTAGGTTTCAAACCGTAAATTCACAATTAACAAAAAAAGAACAAACTTAAAATAATAGGATAAATAGCACAAAAGTGACCATGTTCACACTAAAATTCTAATTTAACATTGTGTTTTTTTTTTTTGTCTCAAATTCAACACCATATTTCTAGTTTGTTACAACTATAACCACTTACTGGTGAACTCGATTGTCGGTTGACAGCTTTGATGATGTCGCATACTGAGGTGACATGCTATATGTCAAAATTGAAAAAAAAATGTTACAAATGGCATTAAATTTTATCTTTTTTAATTTTGATACTAAGTTTTAATTTTTTTTAAAAAGAATTTTGCTACTATATTTTTGTTCCAAACCAAACATCAATTTTTTCATTTTTGTTTGTTGTTGATTATTTTCCATTTGAAACTCTAAAAATAAATTTTTTACATCTGAAACAGTATAAATATTTTTTTTTCATTTAAAAACCATATTTTTACATAGTATAAGTTATTTATTTATTATTTTTATTTTTTTTACATTCAATCCATAATATTATGTATAAATATATATTGGTTAAATTATAAATATATTTTACATAAATATGTGAGTTTGGAGGGTGGAATGCACTATCAGATAAGCTAATTTGATATCAAGAACACGGGGCCACATAACAAAAATAGTACATAAAAAATACAGTTACAATATAATTAATACGTATTTATAAACCATATTATGGTTTGAATGTAGAAAACCTTGTATATATATAAAAAATTATGGTTTTAAAACGATATATATATATATATATATATATATATATATATATATATATATATATATATATATGTTTCAAAGGTAAAAACAAAGTATATATACGATTTCAAATGGAACAAAAAAAATCATATCCAATTTGGAACAAAAAATGGAATGTCACGCCATCAAAACAAACAAAATTGGGAAAAAAATGATAATCAATTTGGAAGAAAAAATTTATTGTCAGAATTGAAAAAAAAAACTTAGTTGAAAATTTTAAAAAGTAACAATATAGTGTATTTCGTAATTTTTTTTTTTTCAGTTTTAACACGACAGCATGTTAGCCATCAAAATTGACATGTCATAATGTCATATCAGTTGATAACCAGGCTAACCGGTCAAGTGGTTAGAATTATAACAAACTGAAAAACATAGTGTCAAATTAGAATTTTGTTATAAACCTAATCACTTTTGTATTATTTACCAAAAAAATTCACAAAGTTCAGAAAAATCGTATTTTGCCTTAAAAGAACTAAAAAGATTTATTATTAGTTAGAACGAAATTCATAAATACATTAAGATTCAATATATATAGAGTTGGAACCTCTTTCCCCTATTTGCTCTTTCATGAGTAGTTGTAGCCCCCTTCTTGGTCGTTGTAGTAGCTATTAAGTAATCAACATCCACAGCTCAATAAAATTGAAATGAAGTTTTATGTTGGAAATTTAATGGTTACTTGCAAGTATGTAATGTTTCATTATCCTACAGGGAGAATGAAATAAATGGTGTTTGTAAGAATATTCTCTTGTAAAGCCTCTATAGGCTTTAGTAAAGGAAATAAGACACAACAAGTCAGGCTAGGGATCTAAGGTTTGTGAAATGGTGTGATTTAGGCGTATGCCATAGTAATATCAAGGAGTTGAGAAGTTTTTATTTTTGATGAGTTCGGGTGGTTCGACCCAATCAACGCTTCGACCAACATTATCTTCATGATAAGTTGACATAATATTCTTAAGCTTTCAGAAACACTAGATACACTTAATGTTTGAATTAGATGAGAATTGGATAACTACCTCATCAAATTTGAATTTGAATTTCCACGTGGCATCTTGTGATTCTTTTCGTATAGTTTTTCAACAGTCAAGATCAGTTAAGATCAAAAATCATTAAATTGGTTTTAATTTTTCTATCCATTCTTTTTTTTTGTTCAACAACAAAATAATCTCTTTCTATCTTTCTTATAATAAGATATGGTCAAGAATGATCGATCTAGTTTTTTAGTATGAAATTTGGTAATTAATAACAATACTTAAAGGAAAATTGTGTAATGTAACAATTTTTAGTGTTTTTTTTTTTTTTTTTTTTTTTTTTTTAAATAACCACCAAATATTTTCTTTTAAAACTGATCATTTGGTCTGGAATACCCATCTCAGATCTGTATTCTGAAATGGATAAACGGGTAAAATGATCTGATCCGGTAGTGTTGTCACAACTAGCATATTAGCGTTAAGAATTGTGATGCTTGTACGAAACAATTTCCTCCATGTAACCCCGTACCATCCAATTAGTGAAATTCAAACTACAATGCTATTTAAGTCCATACGTGCATACATTGTGAACCAAGCTGAAATAGCCTCATGCGAGTCCAAAACTCAATCAAATAGTTAAGTCCAATCAAATTTGGGCCTTAGCCCAAGAATTCTTGGCCCAAAATCCCTATTGGAACAAAACTTCTTCTTTGGGCTTTACTGGGCCTAAAAATCTTTCATTGGGCCTTATTGGGCGAAAAACTCTTCGTTGGGCCGAAAACTCTTCATTGGGCCTTATTGGGCCAACAACTCCTACCTTTGGGCTTTAATGGACCGGAAACCCCTTTTGGGCCTTCCATTGGGCCGAAAACCTTTCTAATGGAGCAAATGAAACTCGGAAACCATTTGAGGAGCTCTTAAGGCCGAAAACCCTAAAGGGTTTCGACTAGAGCATGTATTAAACAAACAAAATGGGGGAAAATGGGGTTTCCACCTCATTTTTACTCAACATACAACCAAGTCATTAACCTTCATACTTCCATGAGAGTATCACATCAATTTTCCACAAAGTCAACTCCCTCTTCCCTCCTCTCTCTTATGCATCGGCTGATCTTCCCCCTCCCACATATACACTTCAAACATTTTTACTCATTTTGCTCTCAAGAGAAAAAAATCCTCCGATCTATTCTCTCAAAATCTTGAGTTTCACCACCATCATCAAAAATCAGTCCAAGGAATTCTAGGTAAGTTTCTTGTAAACCTAAGTGATTTCTATACATATATAAGTTTACATACTTTTGTTATATGATAAGCTCTTAGAATCACCAAATTTTCGATAATCTCTATAAGACAAGGCTAGGCTTGAAAATTTCCTTCTTCTTCTTCTACCTCTCAAAAATCAACCAAGGTGAGCTTCATACCCCATTATTTTCGAGTTTTCACACACACACACACACACACACACACACACATATATATATATATATATATATATATATATATATATATATGGGGGGGGATACAAGTCAAGTTTTTGTTTAACCATTGGATAATTGCATGGACCAATGTGTTATGTGTTTAACCTTTGGGTATTTGCTTGAACATGGAGTTATCTCATACATCTTCATAAAAATCATGAGAAAATTATTTGTTATCATATATGTTTCATGAAATCTTATGGATATGTGTTGTGCTCAACATGTTAACTTTTGGACATATATATTTTGAACACTATACTTACACAAATATTTGTATATAATAAGTTTCATGATCATATATGTATTTTGTAGAAAATTGTGACTTGCTAGAGTCACAACAAATTAGAATGTTTTGTGTTACAAACTCTCAAACTAATTTTTGGTGTATTAAACAAGCTACTACATTTAATATTTTGCTAATATTAATTTGATCATACATATATTTTTAACTATGTCGACACTAATGTTGGATGGCTTAAAAATTTGAGAAAGTATGCAACATGACATGTTAATTAATGATTATTTGCAAAAAGTGTCATAAATAATCTCACCGAAATAATATACAAAATAGAAGTTATGACAGAAAATGAGTGTGTCATAAATTGTGTGTCATAGAAACTGTAAAGGCATTGATAAAGAATCTGTGTGTGATAAAATCTGTAAAGCGCGTCATAAGCTGAATAATATGAAATCTGCTAAATCGCGTGTCATAAAATAGCTGTCACATGTTTGCAAAGGAAATTTCCTTAATCGATAAAGGGACTCGAAATTTGCGTAAATCTGTTAATACTCTAGTGAGACACTTTCCTTTACCGTACATACCTAGTGTACGCCGTAAGTCCTGTAGTTATAACTAGAGTCTCCTGGAGGGAGAGCGAGGTACTTGATCTCCTAGTCGTTCACTTGACACTTTATCAAAGAATTAGTTTAATTTCCAAATATGAAAGTTCTTCATTCATCATAGAATACATGTTGCATGATTCCAAGATTATGTCCAAATGAAACTTGGATGATGAGAATCTTTCCTTATTTGGTAAATTCTTGACATTTCTAGAAATAGCAAAACAAGAATCATATCCAACTCAACATTGCTAAAATACAAACATCCATTTTCACACATGCCATTGCAAGGATAAATAAATAAGATAAAACTCAAAATTTATTTTATTGCGGAAAAACTTTCCCTTACAATGCAATTCAACTGAAAACTATGCCATTACACATTCCTAAGCAATTTATTCTAACTCTAAAGTAGCGGCTCAAAAATCCGATCTTTGAGTCTCTGCGATTGAAATCCATTTCTTCATGATCAGATTCAACACACTTCTTTCTTAAGATTCCTTTCTTTTATTCGATCCTGCAAAACATCAAAATATAATCTTATCACATCATGTATTAAGAATCTAGAATATGAACTTAAAAAGAGCTAGATAGTGGATCTTACCTGAAGTAGAGACATATGCCAT